TTAACTAAAATAAGAAGACTGGTTTGGTAAATGAAGCTTGGTTGATACTGTAGCTGTAAATAACCCCAAAATCAATAGCTCTGTAAGTGTTCAACATTGGATGCTGACCACATTAGTTTTAGTGGACTCGTTTAGCTGAAGGCGTTCGATCATGCATCGGTACCAGATCACGTTGCAGAACGGCGTGGGAAGCATCTCCTACGATCATTAACCAGACTAGATCAGTCACTTCTCGATATATTGATAACCCATCTAATATATCTTCCAACGTCCTCGATTCTGACTTCTGATTTTAACTGGGTGGGTGCGATTCGATTTTAAATGTTACTGATAAAGAGTGTGTCATTCTACAGAAAGTAACCTTTCACCGTTTGATCCTGTTGCTATCAGACGAAACTTGTGGCTTCTGAGAAATTATAACCAATATTTTTGTTTTATAGTTAATGAACACTTGGATTTTTGTCATGTTATCCTAATTGTATGATATGATTTTGTATGTTTTACCTATTGTTATGGTGTGATGTTTAGTAGTATTTGAATTATAGTATGAACTAGTAATCCCAGAAATAACGCAATTTAATCAAGAAGTATTAAATGAGCACGAACGAATGTACTGTGTTTGGAATTCAAATTCAAAACAGTCATCATTACAAAGAAATCATTGGTTCATATAACACCACATATGATTTGTTAATTCAAGAATAACTGCCTAACTTCTCTTTAGCTTATGGTGTAATTATGCACATTTCACAACTTTCTATTTGTATTGATGCGCTGGCGGGAAATTACTGTGAACTACCAGATAATTCGAGTTATATGGACCACGTTAGTGATGTTATTAGCTTAATTAATATGTCCAGTGAGTGTGCATTAGATATACAGTAGCTCAATGACCAGTACAAACTGGGTTATTGCGCATCAAGGGGGATGAGGCGTTGAAGCATTTGTCTTGCTTTGTCGTGCCAACATTCTGTGCTCTGGAGCCAGTATTCCCATTTTGTGATCTTGTTCGTGGTTGAAATGCATAATCGGGAAGAATAGCTAATGACACTATAGAGACACATACTTAATATTGTTGTTTAGACAATTGTAATTAACATCTTGTCAGTATTGTTGTATCAGTAAATGAACTTGCCATAATTGTTGAAGAAACAGATTCTTGTTTTATCATTCTTTCACTAGTTCTGGCTTGGTGGTTTGGGATAGGTAATTAAACTTTATTTCATTCTCTGTAAGAACAATGATATTCCAACCACGACATGGGGCTTCGGTCATATGTCACTGTGTCACTGATTAACTCAAAGTCCCTCTAGCCTACACATAGAGAGAATAAGTCAGAAAATTTAACGATTTTGTTTCATCACATTGAAACTTAATACTATTTGTCAGGAACGATTATCGTTGTTGGCCGGTAGATAACTTTACGAATTACATTTCCTATAAAACCACCATTTAGTAATTTCACTGTCCACTTTGACATGAACCGAATTACCCTTTATTTAATCAATATCATTACTTGCCTAACAAGAATAATTTTTCCAGCTTGTCACTTAACTCGTCCAATTTCTTAACTATTTAGTTACACATAGTCCCCTATCTTTTGAATGCAACACATCCTACTATTGCTGAAGACCGGGCCTGTCGAATAAATTACGTCTACCTGTGATTGCGCCATTAGTATTGTTTCTACGCCATTTTTATACATTTTGGCGTTATTATATAACAATAACTGCCGATTGTCATCAGTGATGAATCCGGCAGGATTAATGTAATGGCATTCTCAAAACCCTGATTTTTTCACTTAATAATCAGTTTACAGTAGGAGAGTTAAAGTCCCGAATTCGAAGAACGTCAGTATGTCTGTACAGTCGGTTCTTCAACTGATAATTTTACAAGTTTAAAGAGAACAAATTTGTGGATTAGTTCGTTGTGATTACTTGACAAAACATCCAGAAATGTATATAAGAAGTATTATTTTTAAAAATATAGGTACGAACTCAGTGAAATATACCTGCGTCATTGATGTGTGGGCGAGAATGATAATGGTTGGTTGTCAATTATGAAATAAATATTGTATAATAAACTCGAAAACTAGAAAATTATATGTCAATTGTCAACAGTAAATTCTACTAACGAATAGGAGATGCACTACATTCTCAGTCATATAAAACAGTGACAGTTGGTAATCACAACAACAACCTAAATGCATCAGCCGAAACAAAAATCGTCAAAAGGCAATATCAAATACGAAATCTTTAAAAACAGAGACAGAAGTGATATAGTGTCAGAATCTGTATGTACTATAATACCATGATAACTTCAAACAAGCAAAAAATCGGGTGTAATTCACGTAAATACAGAATGCAATAGAATAAATATACACAAAGCTAGTCACAGAAGTATTGCTGCATGCGGTATGTGCATGTGAATTTTCACACACACATAAGCATGCACGCACAGTAAATCTTTTACAAAGACAGTTTCTGAGCGTTACAGGACAATGTCAGCGAGATAAATAGCTTCCTCAGGAACCTCATTTTTGTATATTGATATACGCTTCTAGATAACTTTTCGTGCTAGTTGATACCTTTTGTTTGATCCATAGAAGCCAGACTAGCGGTCGACCGAGTCCCTACACAGATTGTGGAACTGAACAGTCGAGGAACGAGGTCCTCTTTCTGCGAACACACAAAGTTTTCGACATTCGATATGAAACAATAAAAAATATAATGCCGAGACAAAATAAGGAAGTAAATGTATACCTCGAACATAATATTTTGATATTACACAGGTGTTTTCGGCCAACTCTAAACTTGTCAACCTAAGTCGTTAAATCAACTTTCTTCTTAGATCATCTTCCATAGGAATTTTATTTCGACCAATTTATCGAACTAGAACATGCCAGTTAGGTTTCCGCAGCCTAGTGAAGAACTACTAAATCGTTCGATTTCTGAACGTTTTACTTGTAAAATCATTGACAACCACAGATCCTTCAATATTCACAGATATTCAGAGATACTGAAGCTTGTGTCTTATTTCGCATCATTTACCTTCTTTCTACAAGTTATAGCAACCGAAATTTTGAACGTGTCCTCTATTTGATGACCAGAGCTTGTAAGAGAATGGAAGTTAAGAAAATGAAACAAGGATACTTGGGGAAGTGCAGCGATCGAGCTACCTAACTCCATGTAGATGAGCTATGATTTTCTCATGCTCTGTCTGGTTATCAAGCATTTACTCATGGGCTTCTCGAGTCGTCCTAATGTCAAAAGTAATGAAGAATCTATTCCGAGGAAACATAATTAAGGAAAGTAAAACTTGAGGCTCTACAATTCATATAAAGTGATCATTTTAAAAAACGGGGATGTAAAATTACAAGTGATAAATGTCGGATTTCACAGAATGTATTGGTACTCTGGATTGCTTTTGAAACTTGTCATTATTGCATGAGTTCACTGTTCGGGTTTGTAGTATGTGTCGCTTTTATTCTTAAGTTTTCATACGTGCTGAGAATTCTATATTGTACCAGATTATAATATTGAATAAAGCCATTAATAGTAATATTTCCTTTATTTTCGATTTCTTATTCTTATGGAGGCTATATTCGAGATATAATGTATACCCTGTTGACTGTGCAGCTTTCCAACTCTCTGAATGCATTAACAAGATGACGCTTGCATCCTGTTTTCCTTAAAATGCAGATTATGTCATGAGAGTGTGTAGATAGTGGGTGTACCTGTAGTGGCCATGGAGCAACACTTAACAATCCCTACTAACCCTTCATGAAGTAGAACACATACAAGCTTGAAAGATACGCATCAGCTGTTAAATGCTTCATGAAAGGTAGAGGAAGTCAAATAATATCAACACTAGAATACTAAGGCGAGACTTTGCACTTTGGCCAGACGTTTGCAGTTACAGTAAATGTAACCCAATTGTATAAAATGTAGGGTCAGTGAAATCTCACTGAGTCCCAGCCAAAGAGTTAGGCAGTTGGGTCACTGAATATCAAAAAGATTATCGATCCCTGTCAAGGTCAAGGACAATCAACGCACATCAGTTTAGCTTACGCCATGGACTGATCCATGCGGTGGTGGTCACACTTTATTTTGTACCTACTCTAATTAATATAATTCCGTAATAACAACCTTCATGTCTTTAAAGTACTTTTAGTGCCTTGATGCGGCGACGAGGCAATCTACGTTAGGTGCTGACTGCGAAGTATATTTTCGACGTTAGCCGTTGGTTGCACCACTCCCGTCCAACTCGAGTAGGCCCTCGATCATTCGACAGAGAATATGTTGGTGACCTACATCAGTATATCATTCACTTATCAGCCTAAATGTACTATTTAAAGTTTTTCACAAGTAGCACTTCCGACTGTCACGAAAGCTTGGGTCAGTATAACTAGTGATATTTTTGATGTAAGATCATCAGTATTGGGCAGTCTTACCGTACCAAGTTTACAACATCAGATGACGTCCATCACTTTTGTAGCCCAGATAAATGCATAGGTACAAACCCGGACGACAAATCCTTCATGTTTTCATCTCATCTAGTAGGTCAGCTTAAACGAAGCACACACAGTTGCATATATACCCATATAGAATCTTCTCCCATCGGGGAAATTGGATGAGTAAGTGATACAAACCATTATTGTACTTACTAACTTTTGTTTTACGATGCATATGGACAAACGGAATTATCTATAGTTCACGCTTTTTTTCCTTTACAGTCTTTTAACTTACGGTTCCTATAAAGGGTTACTGTAACTTACATAGACACTAAAGACAATACACGCCATAAATATGATTAACGCAGAAATTAATGACAAACCTCTTAATTACTTACTTCTTTTGAACTAATTTAGCAAATAAAAGCTGTCATTTGGCAGAAAATACTGTTTAAAAGACTTTCTATTTAAACCATTGTTTTAAATAACTAAAGATTACTTTGTTGATCAAGGTGTTTCAGAACCTTTTCAAATAAGCGTATCGATTATGGGGGGATCTATTGGAAAAGTTTTAAATTACTTATACATAGTTGACCATGGTGAAGCAACAACTGATTCTAATCTCAAGAAAGCTAAGATTACGTGCATGTTATCGTCAACTCAAAAACCTACGAAACATGTATGTTAATTTTTTCTAATTTATAACTTTTGTAAAGAACCCTCACTGGAAACACCTTGAGCTTCAGAAACCAGGTGAAGAGTTACGTATAAGCAACCTCAAGGCTGGTGCAAAGTTCATTCACGAATCCAGATGTAGTCGGGAAAATATCGCTGTGATAATGTATGTTAACACTACGAGATATTATCTCCTTTTGATTAAAAACATTGTCTCTTTTACGATTGCTTAAATAAGTTTAGCTTTATGTTCTAATTTTTTCTTTTTTCTAAATAATCACAATCCCTCTATTATGAGGGAATCCTCAAAGTCCAACGGTCTTCTCCCAACTTTGGGGAAATCCTTAAGTTTTTGAGTAGTTTACACAGATTTGAAGAAATTTTGGGTTTTTGTGCTATTTTCTTGAAATTTTCCAAAAGATCATAAAGTTTTCTCAAAATAAGGAGATTGGGCCCGGGTGAGTAAAGTCGTTCAAATACAAATTTATGTTTAGAATATTTCACTTTTTTCCACTTAATTTAAAAGAGGTCCAAGAACCATAAACTTTAAATATATGTTTATTTTGCCGTATATCATGTGGAGGAAAAAGTTCCAGACTTTTTATCCACTTGGTGGATAATTACTAAAAATTATGGTGTAATTTTTTTATCAAATAATCCATTTTGATTAAGTGAAACTATCCACGTCCTCCAGCTATGAATATGTTAGATGTAGCTTTCTCTGTCGTGGAGGACAAAAGCACACATATGGTAAACTTTATGTTCTTAAATAATATTTCTAATCAAAATCACCTTTAAATATGTGACAACTACCTATTGAATAAACGGAGAAATGATCTAAAGTGCTGAACACGAAAAAGTTAGTGAAGCTGCAAATAATCAGCCGTTTAAATTTATGCTCTTGCAAACGACTTTGTTATATTAGATCAGTAATGGTTACATACTAAATTGTCTAAATAACCTGACTGAATGGGCGCGCAGATACAATTCCTTCACGAGTCCATTTGATTTTCTTGTTAACATTCATATTTTAATTAGAATTGCAATGCATATGCAACTGGAACCCCGTAAAATTCTAATATTACTTATTTTATTAGTGGTTCGTAGCAGTCAGTTGAATGTACAGATTCGAAATCTTATTTGCAAGTGCTCCTAATAATCAATATGTGGTTACAGTACACCAAAGTGTTATACCACGGTTTTTTCATTGGCAAACTATTCTTAAGTATTCAATTAACTTTGATATAAACATTTCTGACTATCATATATTGAAGTATTTGTATGTCCAACATTCTACTTTACAGGTACAGAATAACTGACACAATTCCTTTTGAGAACTGGTATTAACAGCCTAGTTTTGTTCATCAACATGTTAGCAAAACATTAAGGACAAAAATGAGCATGATTAAAAATCATCTGAGACATGAGTAATGAGATAATGAGGGTTTATTTGGTAAATCACTTCATACAGGTTAATATACATACAAAGAAAATAAATAGTTTTAGTGTAAACTCAGTTGTGTACCGTAATGATTCAAATTTTTTTATTCTCCGTTCATTTGTTTTGGCAAAATTTTTTGAGATGGTATATTCACTATAACACGATTGATCATTAAGAAACAGTGATCAAAGTCATACTCGTATAATCTTCCAGTGTTAATCAATCAAATTGCAATCCGGTCACCAGTCTAAGTGACTCGACGTCATGTGCACCATTTTAAGATGTAAGGTGGTTGGATTTAGTCAATAGGAAACCCTGATCGACCTAAGTTTGGTACTTGCTGATGTTCAGTACTATAACCATCGCTGCTACTTTGGTGTCTCATATGTTCAAACCCGTCAGGAAACATCAGTTCATTTTGTATAACAGGTACCTCTTACTAACGGATACCAACTATCAAAAAGCCTAGATCTATTGTTTTATATCGAATAGCTCCAACCAACTAACATCTCAATGTGATTGTACTTGTAGTTAACTAGTATCAGGTTGAAAAGCACTTATAGCCAAATATTTTGAAATGTGAATCAATTACAACTGACATTTTGTTAATAAAGCTAATTCTAATTGATCATCCTAATTTACTGTTTTAATTTGAACCTCACTTTCCTATGTATGGTAAAAACGCAAATGATTTGATTGTAAAAAGTGAAGTAATGTATTTCGTATGGTGCATACCCCCACACACCCATTTATTCTTATACTTGTTAGACAGAATCATATGATATTCATATTTGTCGAATTGTTACATTGGTAATATTTATACCCAGTTTTTTTCTTTCAATTTACTAATGATTACAAATTATCATCAGTTAAAGAAAGTCTGGATGGTGTCTGGTTCTCCTGAAAACTAGTGCAAGATTACCCTGGCCCATGAGGGCATATTATGTAACTGTGAACAAGCTAGTTGATCCTGCCAGTAGTCATATGCTTGTCTCAGAGATTAAGCCAAGCATGTCTAAGTACATACCTTAAAAAGGTGAAACCGTGAATGGCTCATTAATTCAGCTATGGTTCCTTAGATCGTAAACGCTACATGGATAACTGTAGTAATTCTAGAGCTAATACTTGCCTTGAATCCCTGACCCTCAAGGGGACGGGTGCATTTATTAGAACAGAATCAACCGGGTGCGACTTCGGCTGTGCCTGTTACATTCTGTGTTGACTCTGAATAACTTTACTGAGCGCAGTTGGCCTTGTGTCGGCGACGGATCTTTCAAATATCGGGGAGTACAAAGCGTTGAAATCATTCTAATTTAATACTTATTAGTAGTATTTACCTGTAAATTCAAACATGACTTTACATAAAAGAAATAAGATTTAAAATCAAGCAAGTATCTCAGATGTATTAAAACTGAAAGGATAAACATCCAAACTGGAATTCTGAAGGTTAACATACTCTCAATTAAAACATAAAGGTACGTAGTTTAATCTTTGGTAAAGTGTTATATTCTCCCTTATGAGGTGTCCTAAACTAAGGAGAAACTGTTGTTGAGTATTCACTGGCCCTTAATGGTTTATCGTCTGAATTCAGTTCCCAAAGAAAAAATAATCACATCATTAAACTAACCTCTAAAGAAGTAGTTAAATATGAATTAACTTATCAATTCTATCATTAAAATAACGAAAAACATATTTTAATACTATTCTTAAAGAAAAAGAAAAACTTTATGCCAGTCTACAAAGTCTAAGATTAGTCAATGATTCATGAAATTTGTTCAGATTGGCAAAACTAACCGAATTTTATCATGCTTATCTTTGACCAATTTGTTAACGTGTTCATGTGTCTATTCACTATTTGTCATAGTGAATAAATTATTCCATCAAATATTTGAAATGAATATGTTTTTATAAGAAGGTGGTTTTGTAGAGATTTAAGTAATTTTATGTAGTTGAAGTCATTGGTCAATTGAAACGCGTGAACGCTAAACCACTAGACCACTCAGCCGGCATCCAACGGTGGTAATGTCTAACTTGTGTATATATCAGAAGGGGTATTTTTGTGGATATTATAGTAATAGGTTAAGCGCTCGCGCGCGAGACTGATAGGTCCTGGATTCGAATCTCACGAGGCGGGGTCGTGGATGAGTACTGCTGAGGAGTCCCATAATAGGACGAAACGGCTGTCCAGGGCTTCCAGGTTTTCCATGGTAGTCTAGCTTCAATTGACTCACGATTTCAACTATATAGAGTATGTTTGTAATTGTTTTTCCTCTCTCAATGAAATATTGTTTATCCAACTAAGAAAAGAGATGTGCATTTTATATTACCTCCATATACTTAAATGCAAGCAAAAAAAATACGCACGTTCTTGTGTTCCATTGTTAGTGTGAATGTGATTGTTACCGAGTGCAAATTTTTTTTTCGCCAGTTGTTTGGCTGAAACCTTTTTTTTCATTCGTTTATTTATTTATTATTGAAAATGTTCACATAAAATCTATTCGAGTCATACTACACAAACAAATAGGTTATCTTGAACAAAAAATCATTTATTCACTTAGTATTGTTTGTTTGAATCTTCCCATTGATGGTTTGGGACTGCAACTGGTCAGTCTCTAATTGGCATATGTGCATACTGTGCGTATTGCCTCGATATAGCCTTAGTTCACAAGCATGGTAAGCAGAGATGGATAGTGGATGACAGTGGAATCCAGGAAGCGCGTTTCGTCCTATTTAGGACTCATCAGCTGGATGTACCTGCCACATCTGAAAGTTGATGTTCATTCTGGGACTCGAACCCAGTACCTTTCCCATCAATGGCCATTGTGTTATTCACTCAACTACTGAGTCGTGATAGCCACTTGTTTGTGCAATGGGGTGAAGTTTAAATTCACTTAGTATTGTTTGTTTGAATCTTCCCATGGATTTTAGCTTGATGGTTGAATGTGATATTCTGTGTAGTGTACCTACTCCAATAACAAATTTGAATATATATATATATACGGCCATTTCGTCCTACCGTGGGACTCCTCAGAAGTGCGCACCCACGATCCCTCCTCGCGAGATTCAAACCCAGAACCTATCAGTCTCGCGCCAGAGCACTTAACCGATAGACCACTGAGCCGACGAAGCGGCCGTCCAGTGTTTTAGGTTTTACATGGTGGTCTAGCTTCAATTGACTTATGATCTCAACTATATAAGATTTTTGGTTCATCTAAATGACCTTTAACTAATGATTATGATAAGAATCATTGGAAAATGAAATTCTATTCATTAATCATAAAATCATTTTAAGAAAAAGTTTTACTTATTAAACCCCATATTGATTATTATAATTATCAAAGACCTTCAAATAGTTTCTGAAATAAACATGGAATAATAATCAGTAATTATTCGATGGTTATCTATGGTTTGTTTAACAAAAGGATTGGTATTGATCAACTAGTAACTTTGTTCTTTAGTAAAGTATCATATGAAAATATGTGTATATTAATGTGTGCATTTGAATACGTTGAAAGTATTACATTTGTTCACACTGACTCATTAGCATTTCCGTCTCTTACATCATATAAATTCAGTATGAAGTGATATATATATATATATATATATATATATATATATATATATATATATATATATATATGTTATATCGATTGAGTGCGTGCCCTTTTTAATATATGAATGATATGACCGCCAATTAGAAAGGAGTGAATTATCGATCAGAGCAA